TTGCGTCTGTTGAAGTGGGCATTCACCCACGAAAGCTTATGCTCCAATACTTCTGTTAGTCTTAAAGGTGCCACAGGACCCTCTGTTGCTTTTTACAGATTCAGACTAACACGGCTACCCCTCTGATAATTTACAAAGGTATTTATTTAAGTGTCCAAAGTTGCAGATAGGCACTTAGTGAGATTTTCAGAAGTGCCAATCTGCAGCTTTAGACACCTAATACCTTTGTAAATCTGTCCCTATATGTACAACAGCTGCTGGCAAGTACAAAGTACAAACCGTAAATGACCAGGATTTGTTTGTTACTCTGTTCTGAGGATAGCACTGTATGTGTTTCAGAATGCATGGATTTCTTAATGTGTTCAGTAGTCTGTAACGTTAACATTACAGATTTAATAATTAGCTGCTTAGTTCTTCAATAAAGCTACAATAATTTAAGATTTTGGAAGCTATGTAAACTTGATTGGAAATAATGTTACAAGGGAGTAAACAAATTTAGTTTCATTGCCCAAATGAATAGGAAGTTTCATTGTAAAATGGAATTGCTTTAAAAGTACCTGGTATCCAGTTACTGCAGCTGGATACCATAATTTGTCATAAAAATGTAGCAGCCCGTAAACATAGTCCTACCAATGTAATGGTGAAAGAAAGCTGAATAATGTTTTCTTGCCCCCTAAACAGATCAAAACTACTGACCCCAGGTGATTGGAAGAGTAGAATTTCAAAAGGCTAACTCTAGTGGCCCCACATGCATATAGAATGTGGTTTTATTCTTTAAAAAAAAACAAAAACAAAAAAACCTACCTTAGATGTTATTACTAATCACTGGTTTGAAAACAAAGAATACAGACAGCTAGTTGCCTTGCCTTTACAATGACTTCATTACCAATTATTAAACTAATTATCTGCTTAAAAACCATGAAGTGCACATACCAACTTACCGTGTGTGTGTGAGAGAGAGAGAGAAGAGCGCTGTTTATTCCAGGGGAGGTAATGTGCATAATGTAATTTGTCTTTAATATTATCTCTTTCAGACAAAACGGGAGGAAAAAAGTTCTCCAAGGAATTTGAAGAAGCGAGTTCAAAGTTAGAAGAATTTGTAAATGGTTTAGACAAGCAGGTGAAAAATGGTCCCTCACTAATTGAAGTGCTTGAGAATGCTGGTATCTTTTATGAAGCACAATATAAGGAAGTCAAGGTGGTAGCAAATGTAAGTGCAAAGTTTTCCCCAATAGCAAATATCTTATTGATACAGCATTACTAATAAGAGGACATAATGCAGAATACAAACTGATATGGTTGTGGATTATTAAAGTCTATTAAATCATCGAGCCATCTTAATGTTGTAATTCAGCTAATATTTGGGGATTGGTATTAATGAAGATAAACTCAGATTATTTAGTCCAGATTTCCAAAATGTCTGAGTCATGCAGATAATCAAAGTTTATCTGCATTTGTTAAACTCTTTACTAGAAAAATGACTGATAAAATCTCAGTGTACTAATGAATGAAGTAGAAATTGTGTGAGATTATAACACAAATGGTTTAAAAGGAGAGCGGAGATGATGGAGGTCAACTAATGAGATAATTAGATAATTAGATGCTGTTAAGGTTGGTAGGAGCTAATAATTTGACCTACCATTTTTCTCATATGTTTTGCAAATTCTCTGCATGTGAAAAAAGAAAAGATTCATTTGTTATGCCGAGTGTAAAGTTAACTTCGAGAAGCTGAACACCTTTGTCGGTAATCTAGATCTGAGAGTGACCTTTGGGTACTGAAGTTTTTCCTCATTTCTTGAAGCATTGTATCAAACACGATAGTTTATGGATTTGAAAAGATTCTTCCAACAAAAGCATTAACTAAATGGAAAAAGTAGACACATGAATATCCCTTCTGAGGTTCTTGCTCTGTAATCCATATTGAAAAGGGAAATACTTAATGCAGGGGCAGAGATGATTGGGGAGTTGAATATGCTGCTATTAATACTATAGAAATGGTTTAAAGGTACGTTATTTTTCCTTCTTTATAAAGGACACTAAGCTAAATATCCTTTTTTTGTGTCTTAGGCTTATAAAACATTTGCCAATAGAGTGAGCAATCTAAAGAAAAAATTAGATCAATTGAAAGCAACTCTTCCTGATCCAGAAGAGTCTCCTGTCCCTTCTCCAAGTATGGATGCTCCATCTCCAACTGGTTCTGAGTCCCCTTTCCAGGGAATGGGGGAAGAGGACGACATCCAGTCTCCAGCAGTGGAAAGCGAGAAGTCTGTATCTCCTGAACCTGTGGCAGATAATCGGGATGTGGAGGACATGGAACTGTCTGATGTGGAAGATGACGCATCTAAAATTATTGGTAAGTTCTGTGGAAGTAGCAGTAAAATGGGCTAATAGTTTTGTGGATAGTATAAAACTATCTAGGCAAACAGTTTTTCCAGACCTCATATAGAATCAAGAGGATGGTGAGAAACTTTCCTTGTTCTGGGAATACTGCAGCCAGTCCTCCAGCAAAAAGCAGGGAAGTCAGACCCAGATATTCCTAACTTAAAAAACAAGCATAAAAAACCCTCTTTTCATGAGGCTGTCCTTACACACCCTAACAGTTCAGTAGAGGGCATCAACAATTGCTTTTCCTCTGAGCCTTTACAGTAGTTTGTTTTAAACCTGGGACACATTGAGAAGCCTGCAGCTCTTAGGCCAAAAGAATTCTGGGAGGCAGATTGAACATTCCATGTTTTCTCTCTCTGTTTGAATTAGTGGAGGAGAGGAAGGAGAAACAGGTTGTTCCTTCTTCAGCACCTGCAAAGACTGAAACTGTCCCCAAAGCAACAACCTCCACAGTGGTTGCTGCTACACCAGCAGTAACAACTCCTGCTCAGACTCCTCCAGCTCCCAAGACAGTGAGCACAGTGCCTGTCCCTCCATCGCCGGCACTTGGTCTGCCAAACCTTGCCAACGTTGACCTAGCAAAGATCAGCTCCATTCTTAGCAGCTTAACTTCCGTTATGAAGAATACAGGTGAGTGTCTAAATTGCAGGTTGTGACTGAGTGGTGCTGTTCAGCAGAGACAGAATTCTGCATTATACAAGCAATAACTTTGTTGCTCAGATCTTTTTTTGCTTCTGTAACATTTTAGAACTAAAACATTGAATTGTAATTCACTCTGTACTTCAGGAGAGCTGTGACATATTAGTACTAAAAACCCTCTCAATATCAGTTTTAAACATGCTTCCTTTTAAATGATTTAAGGGCATCTGTAGTGTAGAGTTTCCAAGTAGGACATGATGCTACCTACGTCTGTGCACCATAGTGATCTTAGGGTCTGGTCTGTGCTAGGGTTCCTACTGTTGTTAACGATGCAGTAGTGAAGGTGGTCATGCTAGTTGTAGACAAGGCTTCCACAGCTGCTGACATTTTTAACAGTCATGTAGGTCTGTGTGATGCTGTTAAACGCTGGTTGCTTCAGGAGCCTTGTCTACACTAGCACCTTACTGCAACTCTACTGGTATTAGTAATAGTTGAAAGTAGCCAGAAAACCCTACCTTAACAAAGCAGTATGTATGAGCAGTGTATTTATTGACTGTTTTCATTGCTCTTGGAAAGTAGCATTTTGTGTTTCTGAGCAGCAAATGTTTTCACCTCAGGGGTCAGTCCTGCATCAAGACCTTCCCCAGGAACCCCAACGAGCCCCACGACTCTTACTAGTGGCCTGAAGACTCCTATTGTGGGGACTCCATCCGGTCCTCCAAATCCGTTAGCAAATATTCTTTCCAAAGTTGAAATAACTCCTGAAAGCATTTTGTCAGTTCTCTCCAAAACCCAGACCCAGACTGCACCAGCATTGCAAAGTAAGTATTTAAAATCCACTCCTTTTGCACAATATAAATAGTTAGCATCTATATTTGGATGGCAGCATCAATACTAAAGCATCCTACTGTGTGCTCCTGAAACAAGACTTTATCTGGGAGGAAATTAGCTTGTAGTATGTAACACTTTTTCCAAATGTAAGTTACATTTTGCAAGGTAGTGTATTTGGCATGGCCAAGTCAATTTTGTAACAGATTCAGGGAGTGTTTTCCTATATGTTTAATCTTTTAAAAATCTTTTTAAAATCTGATGGTGTTGGATACCATCCTAGAACATTTTATATTTGCTTTATTAGTTGTAACTTTTATGACTAAATCTTGTTGTTGCACAGTAAGCAAATAGTGTGAATATGTTTAATTGCTGGACTTCGCCCTGGCTTTCCAGTTAGCCAAGTAATTATATTGTAATGTGTTTACTAAAATCTTAAGTTGCATGGAAAAAATGTAGCAGAGCAGGGGACCCATGAGTGAGTACCTCTTGGATTCTATTCCTAGCTCTGGGATGGGGTTTGTTTTAGTGGTTTGAGCAGGGGGTTAGCAGCGGAGGACTCTAGATTCGGGGGAGGGGGGGGGGTTCCCTCTACTACTTGCTCGTATGATCTTGGTTAATAATATCACTTCCATGCCTCTGCTTAACTAGCTATAACATGAACATAATACCGACGTGGTTTAGATGTGTGTTATAATTTATATTGGTAAAACAATTTGAGATCAAAAGCACTATGGAAATGCAAAGTAATTAGTATTTAATAGTACGTAGAGATGGCAAAGTCTAACCATTTTGTTGGCTCAGATGTCAGCTAGTTTCAAAAATGTAAGTTTGTAGCTTCTCTGCCCACAAAACCAATCATGATGATGGCTTAGCACGAATTTTCTGTTGAAATGGTTGTAGGTTACTCTGCCTCTTAAAATATGTAATTAAAATGTTTTGTTTTTTGTTTTTTTCTCCAGGTTTATCATCCTTACTTCAAAGCGTTGCTGGAAATACAGCCCAATCAAGTGAAACAGCATCTCAGAGCACTTCAGCATCACCAGCCAATACAACTGTTTCTTGCATGAAAGGGAGGAATGTTCCTTCCAATACTCAGTCTTTTATGTCTAAAAATGTTGGTTATTCTCCAAATTCTTCTACTGCTGAGGTTTCTTCAACTTCGGTTAACAAGGCTCCTGTTGGACATAGCCCAGGGCTTTCAAGTTCTAGTTTTAAACCACCAACAAATTCCCTTGGATTTGTCAATACCCATCCTACCAGTCCTTCCCTTTTACCAACAGAAACCTCACTGAGTCAGTCCTCTGAGATTTCAAAAACAAAGCTGGAGTCAGAACCGACCTCTCCAAGCCTAGAAATGAAGATACACAATTTTTTAAAGGGAAACCCTGGTTTCAGTGGTCTAAACTTGAATATTCCAATTTTAAGCAGTTTAGGGTCCAACATCACATCAGAAAGCCATTCATCTGACTTTCAGCGTGGTCCTACTAGCACTTCTATGGACAATGTGGATGGGACGCCAGTCCGTGATGAACGAAGTGGAACGCCAACCCAAGATGAGATGATGGATAAACCAACATCAAGCAATGTTGACACTATGTCTTTATTATCAAAGATTATAAGCCCTGGATCGTCTACTCCCAGTAGCACAAGGTCCCCTCCTCAGAGCAGAGATGATGGATATCCCCAAGAACTGTCTAATTCTGTGCCTGCCTATAGGTCTTTTGGTCTCGGCAGGGATTCTCCAGCCAGCATGTACAAGCAGTCGTCCGATAATATGGAAATACCTTCTTCTTTAATGGATTCCCCTCAGGAGAAGTTTTACCCAGACACATCTTTTCAAGAAGATGAAGATTATCGTGACTTTGAATATTCTGGGCCACCACCATCTGCCATCATGAACCTGGAGAAGAAGCCTTCAAAATCCATTTTGAAAGCAAGTAAGCTTGCCGACGCTGCAGAGTACCAGCCAGTTCTCTCTAGTTACAGTCAAAGAGCGCAAGAGTTTAGTGTGAAGTCGTCTTTTCCTCAGTCTATGAGGTCTATTCTTGAGAAGAATGAGAGCTGTGATCCACTGTCATCGTCTTCTGGAATGTATGGAAGTTACAGCCTACGAGCAAATGACTCTGGATCCGATGGTTCCCCTTCACCCAGTAAGAACGATGTGTTTTTCACACCAGACTCCAATCATAATAATTTATCAAAATCTGTGATACATTCTGGCTTGTCACAGAAACAGTATCCAGACTCTCCCCATTCACTTCCTCACAGATCACTTTTCTCTCCTCAAAACACTCTTTCAAATCCTGCTGGTAGACCACCCACATCCAGTGTGGAGAAATCTTTAGGTTCTTCCATTTCTGCCACTTCAACAATTGAGTTTAAGAACATGCTTAAAAATGCATCTCGCAAGCCTTCTGAGGAAAAGCATTTTAGCCAGGTTCCTAAAGGGAGCTCACATGAAGGGGTTAGCCTATCTAGTCTCAGCCAAGCTGGAACTTCTACCGGAGAGCAGCAGCAGCAAGAGGAGCACTATCGTATAGAAACTAGGGTGTCGTCGTCTTGTTTAGACTTGCCTGATAGCACTGAAGAGAAAGGAGCCCCTATCGAAACTCTGGGTTACCATAATGCATCCAATAGGGGAATGTCAGGAGAACCAATTCAGACAGTAGAATCTATAAGAGTTCTTGGGAAAGGAAATAGAGGACACGGGCGAGAGGCATCTAGAGTAGGCTGGTTTGAGCTAAGTAATACAGGTAGTGCTTTTGATAATGGGCCCTCAAGTGCTACTGAGCTGCCCACCATGGGTACTGGCAGTGGAATTGCCAGCTTTCAAACACAGTACAAAGAACACGTGCCACAATTTCAGGAGAGTGTAAACAATTTCAGAACAAATAATTTCAGCACTGCCTTTGAGCGTCACATACCACCTCCTCCCATAGAGCATGGAACTCCTTTTCAGAGAGAACAAGTTGGTGCACCTGCTGGGCCCCCATCTGCTCCGCCCAAGGATCATGGAAGCCTGTTTCCTAGGGATCACTCAGTTCCTCCACACATGTCATCAGTGGATCACACTAATCCTTTTTCAAAAGAAAAATCCTCTCCACTGTCATTGCCTCATACTGCCCCTCCTCCTCCTTCTGTGGAACATAGCGGGCTTCCATTTCCTACTCCTCCCCCTCCCCCTCACTCTGTGGAACATGGTGGCGTTCCATTCCCTACCCCGCCGCCACCTTCTGGGGAACACGGGGGCATTCCATTTCCTGCCCCTCCCCTGACCGTGGAACATGGTGGTGTCACGTTTTCCAAGGATCACGGTACTATTCATCAAGGAACTATAAAAGAGCATTTTAATGTGCATTCAGGACCAAGGGACCATGTGGCCCCACCTCAGCGAGACCACAGTGGTCCACCCCTTGGTCGGGTTCGAGAAAACATAGGCCTAACTTCCCTTTCGAGAGATCAGCATGGGCCCTCCCATAGCGTTCCTCATATTGGCCCATCTCATAGAGACAATGTAAACCGGAGTGGAATGATGATTAGGAACCCACGACCAGACTTTAGGCCTAGGGAACCTTTCATAAACAGAGACCCATTTCCCAGCTTAAAAAGGCCTCGGCCACCTCTTGTAAGGGGCCCTCCATTCTTTGCACCAAAACGCCCGTTCTTTCCTCCCAGGTACTGAAACAGACATGCGTCTCTGTAAGTGAAGGTATTTTGGATATTCTAGAGAGCAGTGGAAGTAGCGCTTTCACTTTTGTTTTTCCTTAAAGAGCCCCATAACATTTTTCTAAATTAAATATGTTCTGGTACTTTTTTTGGTTGTTTATTTTTTTAAGCCAACCAGTTGGCGTAAATCTAGCAAAATGTTTTAACAAAAAATAAGACTTTTCCGAAGAGTATTGCCGTTGAAATAAAACTTCTAGTCATAAAAAATGATTGAATGTGCGATGTTGGGATGTTATTTTTAGCTGATTACCAAATTGTTTTGCTTCATGAGTCCTCCGAACCCATGTCAAAAAATAGAGGTGGGGGAAGGAACTCTGTTGCTACTATTGATTAAGGAAGATAAAGGGTCCAAGCTTTCAAAGCCTTCCCTGTGGCAATAGAAATATTAACCCTTCCTTGTGCCTTTTGTTTAGGTTAATCAGTCACTTTTTTCACTGATGTCTGCTCAGTCGGTCCCTTGCTGTGAAGCCTTGGAACATCTTGCTGCTTGCTGTTTTCCATCTTGCTGATAGGAATAGGGAGAGGGTAGGCAACTAACATGGTCAGTTTTTCAGCCCTTCTGTTTGCTTTTTCTGCCTTTCTCAAAATGCAAAAGGAAAAAACCTGCTTTTCACAGTTGACAACTTTGCCACTGAGGGTCTTGAACTTTTCTCCTAAGTTGGGTTTCAGAAAACAATCTCTAAAGTATGTGCACTTCCTATCTCCAACTTGGCTTCCTTCCTCAACATGATAAGAGGGTTATATTTTGTTGAATATAAATCAAGTAATGCATTTAAAATAAGTGAATGCAGGGAGGTAGCTAGTGGTAAAACTCAAATCTGTGCTTACACACACATTTAATATATACAGTGTATATTTGAAACATGTGCCTGCATACACATGTACAAGCTGCATCATTTTTTTCTTTCTTGTCTTATATCACAGAGCTAGGCCAGGTCTAGTAAACTGTATTTACTTTTTTGCTGGGAGCATTGTTGACATACATGTATTCTTCACTTTTTGTAATCACACCTTTCCTTGTGCTTTGTTTGAAGCACATAGTCCCATGTAAGATGAGAGAGAAACTGCATGCAGCAATGTGAAAACAATAGCTAAACTCTCTTCCCACGTTTTCATAAACTCACTTCTGCTGCCATGTGCATAGAGGACTTTGTGTGGAGTTTGAATTACTTTATTTGATTTTTTTTTTTAAAGTGAGTAGAATACAACATACTAGTGTCTGATAAAGGTATGGGAAAATATCTATAAAAATAACTACAGAATGAGAAAATGGCAGAGCATTTGTTTGTGCTTGGGCTGTGTGTTTTATTTAATATATATAATATGTATAATTATATTTCCATACTCAAGTAAGTGAATCGGAAGGTTGCATGGGTGTATTTTATTGAATTGCCCTGGGTTTACAGAAAGAATGATGTTATAGTGCCAGTGCATAAAAACCACCTCTCTTTTCTAATCTTAGGACAAAAACGTGCGTTCCACTTCATTTTGCAGCCAGCAGCAGATGTTGCTGCTGCTGGTCTATAGGGGGGCTGTATTTAGGCAGCATCATGGAATGGTGCACCTTGTTGTGTGGACTGTTTCAGTTAAACAGAATTCCTGAAAAAGTAACTGCATGTGTAATTCATGCAAACATTGAGTGTTTAAACTTTTGGGTTAAATTTAAACAGTATTTATTCCTTTTCTGTTCCTTCTGAGTTCTGTTCTCTTTGGCCACCGCAGCTCCTTTCAGTGAACCTCCAATATGATTATTGAATGGATAACACACCAAAGTCCTACTGTGAGGGTAGCTTGTGTAAGTTAAGCAAAATGTTCAGAAGGTCAAAACAAAGCAGTCAAGATATAAAGCAAGAAAACTACGTAATAAGATGTGAGAATTCACTTATCCTATGATATGAAGTAAGATGATCTAAATCAGTTCCCTATACACCAGCACTCAGAATGTCTGATCATATTTCTCATTAGTCTAGCCATACAGCTCTTAAATTTTAAGACTTGTAGGACATGGATATATTTTAATATCTAACGTTAATGTCCAGCATGAAAACTGAAAACATTTCACAGCATTTGATATATATTGGAAATGACGCATAGCTTAGCCCAACTTCTTTGCTCTACTGGAACATTTGAAATGAAGCTTTCAGTAACAGCGTGGCATTCCATTTACCTCAAACCTAAACTACACAATCCCATTGCTTTAATATCTATCCTGGCTTGAAGGGACAGTTTCAGAGAAGTCATAGCTTAAAGATACTTTGTTGAAGGAAACCAAGGGAGTGAAAAAACGCAGGAGATTCTGATGTAAGAATGGAACCAATATTGACTAGAAAAAAATTTCCCTCTAGAATAAAAGAATGTGAATTATTTCTGCTGCTCTTGCTTAAAGTGGTGATTTCGAAGTAAAGAATTATTAAAATCAGATGGTGACCATCTAAGAACTGCTCTCCATGCCATCTGACATGCCTGGCGAGTGGCTTCATTGCTCTTGGCGATGGCTTTTTGGGTAACTTGAAAAGTAAAATGACTGATTTAAAAAAAAAAACACACAAAAACTTATTGTAATAAAAAAAAAAAATATTATTTTAATGATGAAAGCTCCATGGTTTTTGTTTGAGGTTTTTCATTTTATTCTGTGCTTGTTACTTTAAACAAAATGTCTACAGTAACTGAAGACACGTGTACATATGTAGAAACCACACAACTTATTTCTGGACATGAAGGCGTTTTTTCCTGTGTCTGTGATTTAAACTACTCAACCGTTCTTGAACTTTTGTATTTCACCTTATAAGAAAAAGAAATAAACATGTATTTTTTAAATAAAGCATGAAACCGTGTGTCTCATGAAGGACATAACTTCATAAAGAAGAAAAGCAAATTGCAGACAGCCTTCAGTGTTCACTCCAGCTGTTCTAGAAACCGAGAGGACAAACCAAACATTACACTGGTACAGCTTAACGGCCGTCAATAGAATTAACATTTACTAGAGGTTATAAACACTTAAAATGTATCCCTGTTCTAGACTTCTGCTAGTGTAGTACAGATATTCTTGTCACCAGACTTATGAGTATGCACCATTTAGATTTCTACTGTCCCCTCAGATACGCAGTACGCATACCTGCCTCTTTGGAAAAATTCAACATACGCTATGGTGTGCGCTGTATATCAGAGAGGAGGGTCTACAGCTGTGGCTGACTTTGTGATCTAAATCCATTTTAGAGACGCTTTACCTGTAAAATATTGTTCAGGTGTGAGAAACCTGTTTAGATAATGTGAATAATGGTAATTTTTTTAAAAAACCATGCAGAATAAATGATCATATCCTGAAATTAATTATTCAAAAATAAGCTGCAGTGCTGTTATTTCAAAACTGCTGTAAATATTGGCTGCTTTGTGTGTGTGCCTGTTAAGATGAATTGGATCTGTTGGATTGATATTCTCAAGTGTTCCGTGTGGAGAAAGCAACATGCATTAGAGGACGCGACAATAAAACTGCAGATCATTTTGAAATGTGTATTAATACATTTAATAAAATAACTAGTTCTAATGTTTTGATATTCTTTTTTAACTGGAACCTCTATTTAAGTGTACAGGGGGTGTAAGATTGCCTGAGCCGTGAAAATGACCAAAATATTGGGCCGAAGAGAGAACCTCCGTTTTTTGCTCAACATTTGCAGTCTAGAACGACAGCCAGGCTTTATTTCATCGTTGCTGAATTACAAGTTTAGGGTTAGTGGGGCCTAACCCTTTTTTTTTTTTTTTTCTCTTATTAATGAAAAAAAAAAACACACACACTCACTCACTCTCTCCCTGCAGCTCAGGCTCTGTGACCATTTTGAAGAAGACTGAAAGAAATTTAAAACTGTTGTTGGAAGATGGCTCTGTTTCTTTTAATTTTACATAGAGGTGATGTTTGGAGGCAAATCTGAAATTACTGTTAGCTCGCAGAGCAAAACACGGAAAATGGAATATTCTACCTATACTTGTGGGCTGAGACAACAGTTACTTTCCCCCTGCCCCCATTTATTTTTGTATTGCATATTAATAAAGTGTACTTTACTTGGTGTGGTTTCCTTTCAAAAGAGTAAGATCTTTGCACCAGTTTACTGGCTTCTGGCCTCTTGTACATACTCTTCTGTTCTGTCATGTAATTTTGAAGGGTGATAATGTTGATTTTCAGGGTTGTCTTGGCTTCCTGTCCTTTTTTGTTGGCTGGGGGATGGGAGCAGCTGGCTACACAGCCTTGAGAGACGCTGGTCTCAGTGATTACTGCTAGAACCTCACTTTCAATCTATATCTGCATAACGCAAGAAGCAATTATGTGAAACAATTTAAAGAGTATAATTTTTAATAACTTCAGAGGTGCATGGTCATTAATTTTTAACAAATTACTTTAGCTGGGCTAGCTTAGATTATCAAAATGGAAAGAATTTTAAACCGTGAATTTACTTTTTGCCATTTATGCTGATTGGCTACTTTTTGCATTTCACGTAATATGGACAATAAGAATAGCCTGCTATGTTCTGCATTCTGGTACGATAGTAGAATGGAGTAGTAATTTGGCTTCCAGGTGCTTCAAAGTGGTACATAAACAAGGAACTCTTATTTGAAATTGTTTCTAGAATAGGAACCTATTTTATTTTCCAAGCTACAATTTTTGTATCTAAACTTATGTCCACATGTCATTTTGTTAAAGATCATTTAGATAGAATAACTATTCAGGGAAGGTTATGAAACATCTCAAGAGCAAGGCACTATTAAACGAGGAACTCATGGGCCTCTGGGAATCAATACAAAAATAAGCCAAGAGGCCACTTCTAATCCAGTATCTGTGAATCTAATGAATACTCAGCCCTAGTTTTGGGAACATGCTGATTACTGTATTTAGTGCTGTCTTTCATGTGGAACTCCAAGCCTTTCAAGCTTTTTGGGACTGAGGGAGAATACCGCTGAATTCAGTAAGCCTATTTATAGCTTTTTCAATACATCTCTAAAGTAGTAGACTCTTAACTTAAATCCCCCGTGTGTCTGAAATGTAAAAGTTCCTCTCGTTAGCTCAGGTGTCATGCAAATTTGGTCCGATTACAAATATGTCATATCCTGCACAGCACTCTGTATCCGCCAGGCTTAGTGGGAGTATAATTTGTCATTTTATTGTGATGTTACATCCACTCACCCTTTAGCATCCAACCAAGGGCAATTACTCTCCTTGTCCGTCTCAAATGACCCATTTCCCTTCCCTCCCTTTTCATCTCATTGCTTTTGATACCATTTCTCATCTTGAGAGGATTTCACAAAGTCCTTTCCAAGGTTTTCAAGAGCGGTCACACTATGGATGTACTAATATAGAGCAGGTCACTTGCTACCCTCCTCTAGCATGAGGGGCTTTGGTTCCTCCCCAGCTCAGTGGGTGTTCTGAATCTCTCTACCTGCTCTTGAGATGAGTCCTGCCATATTTGCTATTCATCTTCCCTCTATTCTGACCTACCTCAAACTGACTTTGGTAGGGTTCCATATTTGCACTTCACTGACTTAAAGATCTTTCTTATTTTCAAGTGAAGGTGGGTGTGGAGCTTTTTAAAGGGCAGCCCTGAAAACTTCACCTTGGATCTGAAAGTCGGGCTGGTTTCTGCTGGACTGCTGCATCAGAACCATGAATGGCCAAACTCTGTCGGGGGAGGCACAAGTATAAAAGTCTTGTCCTGAATTGTTAACTTACTCGCAGTTGCTGCATGAGCTTATAAATAAGAATAAAATCCAGTAGCTCGCTCCTATAGCTGTTTGCGCTCTGCAAGGTCACGAAGATGATGCATAGTGCTGAACATGGGGAGTGGGCAGACCTGTTCCATAAATATGCCCACTTTAGTTACTTTTCAGAGCAGGGCTGCAGTTTGAAGTATCACCGGCACTGCATTCCTCTTCTGTACCGTTACTTATCCCTGATGCAGACAGACCTGTAGAATCTATAACTGGAGGCCCATGTGTTGAGAGTGTGTGATGCAGATTGGTTTAACATTAGGCACTATCTTTGAGAATGCAGCATCAGTCTTCCAAGGGGATATGATCCCTTAGGCTCAGCCCAGCACTCTGAATGCTCAGGGTAAAGAGAACTTCCCAGCATGAATAAAACTGGGCAGGGTATTTGAAAATTGCTTAAATTGCAGTTGGTGTTCCTTGAGTTTTGGTTGAGTGTGGGCTGCTATGTGTTACAAGCAATAAGGAAGCCCAGGGTAGAAGCGCTACACCATTCTCCATCCTCTTTTAATCCCATTTGAATCAACTAATTGTGCTTAAATTTTTAAACATGAAAGATTTTCTTCTGTGAGCTTCCATTCCGCTTATTTATCCATAGCTTGGCAAGTTAGCATCAGAAGTAATGCCATTTTCCACCAACACGGCCACCCCCCATTGCAGACTTGCAAAATAGAGATTTTATTTCCAGCTCCATTTCAGTCTGCTCGTGCAGTGACGCGCTTCTTAGCCTATGCCAGGGCATCCAAACCTACGCCAGCCGAAGGGCTGTTTTAGCAACTTGGCAGGCGCTTGAGAGCTGCACTCTTAATTTGCTGAAAATGATGCAGGGACTTCCCGCCTCCTCCCGCTTTATATCAGTGCAACCCCTGGGGATTGCTGGTTATGTGTAATTCTCTACCTTCATTAGTGTGTGCCAAGACCATGTGCTGAGCCACCGTATTGAAGACACGGGCAGCCCCATGCTGCACTGTAGACTGTTGGGAATGCATTTGTCCCATAGGCTGGTATCTTTGCTGTGTTCAGATGGGATTATAAAGCATTTACGTGATTTGAAAAACCCCACCCTTCCTG